TTTGGCGTCTCGGATGCGGACATCCAGGTGGGTTGGGGAGTGGCCCCGCGGGAGAGTTAATTCATAGGGTGGGGGCTGGGCGCTCTGGGTGGCCGCCGCAGCTCCGCAGGTCCTGCTGCCTTCTGTGGCCGGCTGGGAGATCCCTAAGGGAATCAGCTGGGGCTTGGGCCGTGAGAGCCTGTCCTGTGGCACGTTGGGTGATCTCACGGGGCTGCCATTCAGAAAAGCCGCCGTTTTCTGCAGAGCTGTAGCTGATCGTGTTGTGAGTGGCTCTGCCACAGCACAGGGGTGGGAGAATGCTGTTGTTCATCTGAATTCAGCTGTGGCTCGAGAATTTAAATGGTGTAAGCTCTTGAGGGCTGCGTTACTGCAGAAATTCTGTAACCACATGGCATATACATCTGCGTGCTTTGGTTTTATGGGACCTGTTTGTGCAGCTTTGTTAAAGTCGCGTTCTGTTGAGTGTCACGGTGTCCTACGGACGCACCCCTTGGTGTAACTGGGAAGGGTTGTGTGTGAGGGAGAGCACGCTCTCCTTCCCCACAGCATCTGCGGTACCTGCTGTGTTCAGTCTTCCAGCCAAGCTGCCTGCCGTATCTCTTGTTTCAGCCATGCCTTGGGCCAGAACCTGACGGATTCTTTCTGTCGGGTGTGCAGTGCATGCTGTCCCCGTGGCTGTGTGGGTCAGAGGGGCTGAGGCGCGGTACTCCCCTGCTGGCCGTAGGGGCACGGTCACCAGTGGGCCACCAGTTGTGCAGAAATAAACACTTGCAAATCCCAGGTATGTCCCCACGGGGGCTGTGCTGGCTCAGTCACGCTGCAAAGTGCTTCCTTTTAAATCAGCTTCTGGTCCTCACCAGGGAGAAAAAACCAACCACTTTTCTGCTTTCTTAATCGGTTAATTCATTCCGGTTACTCCACGTGCCCATCTGACTGTGCCTGGGGAATTGGAAGTGAGCTTTTTCAGGTCACCTAGTTATGGGGTAATGCACTTAAAACCACCTCTTTTCTTCGCGTTTCTTCAGATTCAGTTTAAATAAGTTTCTTGCTTGCTGTAGTCCGGCCCTGATGTAGAAAACGTGGCTCTGTGAAGTCACCTCAGCTTAACCAGCTCCTGTGCTTTGTGTGGTGGTTGAGATTTGCCTTTTCTGCTTCTGGCTTGGGCACAAGTGCGGACAAACTTCCATGTATGTTTTATTTAGCAGCAAAGCTGACTTAATGGCTTTGTGCCTATTTGTTATTACCCATCACATAACTTAGTGCTGCCTAAGATGTGGGGATTGCTTTCTTTGTTTCCATGCTAATCGCATCATTACTGTGGTGCAGCGCAGCTTGGGTGCTGTGTTGGCTGGAAGGAACCTCAGGGGCACGTTGTTCTTGGAGGAGCTGTGCAGCATCACTCCCATGTTATCCACGGTGCCAAGGGGAGCTCTGGAGGAGTGGCTGAGCACTGCTGCACCAGTGCTATGCTCTCTTCCAGAAAGCCTCTATCGAGTGTCATGTAACGTTCACCTCCGGTGAATGAGTCCAAGGGAGGAGCTGGCCTGCAGCCCTGCCTGAAGCACTGCTTGCTTAGGAGGTGGAAGGACATGTCTAGTGCTCCCTCACATGCTTGGGCAGTGACTCGCGGAGACAGCTGCATGGCGGTCAGGCTTTGCAGCAGATGCTGGAGAAGGTGGCCTGTCCCTTTGGGCACCTGGCTGCTCTGGTGTAGGTGTTCAGCTTCTGAGGCACAGGGTGTAGCAGAAACTTGCCAAGGTGAGGTGTCCTTGTTGACTTCCTAAATGTAGCACCTGTGAAACAAAATTGGTGGCTCCGTTGCTGCCTCTTCATTTCCATCCTTTGTGACAGCAAATGACATACTTCAGTAGAGAGCTTTTCCTAGTCTCAGTTTTTGGCGTGTATTCCTACTGGGCGATGTTTTTAAATTGCACTTGGTTTAGTAAAGATTTAAGGCAGGGGGAGGGAAGTCCAGCACAATGAAACTGTGATCACCTCATGAATCTCTGTGTTCATAGGGATCATTCTTTCTCTATGAAATGGATTAGGGTCTGGATTATATTTAGTCACACCATTGACTCGGCCTCAACAAAAAGACCTGCAGTTTCCCTTGAGTCTTCTTTGCTGACTAAATGTGCACCCGGAAAGTGGTGAACATGAAGTCCTCCTTGGTGTTGCCACCTGTGTTAGCTTTCTGAAATACTTCTGATGGGCTTGTGCTCTTTCATCGGTGCTTTTTCTGAGTTGTCAGTGATGTTTTGAAAAGCACCTGAGATTGCTGACAGTGGTTGTGTGTAGGGGACTGGCAGTGCTGTCTCTTGGCTGTGCGGTGTTTGCAGTGCTGATGGGCATGTGTGCTTTTCTCCCTCTCTTTCTCAGGAGCTCTTTGCAGAGTTTGGGACCTTGAAGAAGGCAGCTGTGCACTATGACAGATCTGGCCGCAGCCTAGGGACAGCGGATGTGCATTTCGAAAGGAAGGCAGACGCTCTGAAAGCGATGAAGCAGTACAATGGCGTCCCCTTGGATGGTGAGTCTCTGTGGCCGTCTCCACAGGGTATTTCACTGGCTGGCTGGAGCAGCCCGCGCGCCTGTGTCCCGCTCGCAGGCTCACGAGCTGCTCTTCTTCCAGGGCGCCCCATGAACATTCAGCTGGTCACATCACAGATTGACACACAGAGAAGACCAGCACAGAGGTGAGATGCTGTACGGCCGTGGGAGTCGCTGTGCCCGGTCAGCGCGGGGCGGGAACGTGCCTGGCCCTTCTCTGTGTGGGAAGCATGCATCTGTCTCCCGTTCAGCAGACTCCTGCGTGCCTGTTTGGGTTAACCAAAATGCACTAGAACAGTTGCTTTTTAAAAATCACAGTGTAAACAGAGGTGGCATGACCAGAAACCGCGGTGGTTCAGGAGGATTTGGTGGTGGAGGAGGCAACAGGCGAGGTACTCGTGGCGGGAACAGAGGGAGAGGCAGAGGAGCTGGAAGAACTTCTAAACAGCAGCTCTCCGCAGAAGAACTAGATGCACAGCTGGATGCTTACAATGCCAGGGTAAGTGCTGCTTGGGCACTGCCCAGGGGTTCCCCACGGCATCTTGTTCTGGGGAACATTGGCAGCCCAGAGCTGGCAGGAAAGAGAAAGCATTTTCCACGTGACTGGACTAAAGCAGTCTCCCTGTAAAGCTGAGCAGTCCAGTAGTTGGCTTTACTTTCCGGAACACTTTGTCAACTGCTGTTACTGACAGACCAGAAACGGCCTGTTTTCCAGCTCCCCAGCTTGCTGGGGCTGGCGTAGGGCAGGCTCTTCTGTAGCTGGAACAGCCATGGTGAACAGGAGCTGTATAGCAAAACCCACAGAGATTATGGGCTGCAGAAATGGAAAAACATAAAGAAAAAAACCATGTGAAATAACTACATGGGATGCTAACAGAAGAAGGGTCGGTGATGCTGATGGTGGATCTGAGTCCTCATGCACGGAGCCACATGCGTGGTTTGCTGCCTTCAGAACTAGCTCAGACGTCTGCGCCACAGCCACATTAAAATCTTGATAGAAAGCTGAGGTCATGTGTACGTCATGACAGCAGAGGCAGTGTTATAGGAACGGGATAAAACTGAGGTGAGACTATGGGAGAAAGAGCAGAATTCCAGAAAAAAATTGGCATGGGAATGTCTGATGTTTTAGAAGAGCCTTTGGTGTTGGGGATGCGTAAATAGCGTTATTTTGCAGCAGCTCGGATGGGGCAGGGGGAGCACAGCGGGGCAGCTAGCCAGCGTGCCTCACTGTACTGCAGTGGGTCGGTGGTGCCCGGGCTGCCTCCGGAGGGGCGGGTGGGCTGGGGCAGCCGGGGTGCCGTGGGGCGCGGTGGCTGTGCCGTGGGGTGCGGTGGGCACGTGATGACGGCTGCTCCCGCTCTCCTCTCTTCCAGATGGACACCAGCTAAAGTGGCGGGGGGGGGGGGGGGC